TATATTATATTATATTATATTATGGTTGCTTAATGCTTTGCTTTTTGCTTTCGCTTCGCTCGTGAGTTGATCGCAGAAGGCAGCCTGACACGGACCACTGAAGTTGGTTGTCATTTTGTTTGGTCCACCTTTGGCCGCCCTTCGCAGGGTTGCTCTTAAGGTGACAGTGTTGGTGGGGTCTCGGTTCTAGCAGGCTGATCTCAGGACCTGTGCATCTTTGTGAGTGACATGGACAGCCTGAGTACTGGGCTACCACCCCTATACTATACTATACTATACTATACTATACTATACCCCTGGTTCAAGCACGCCAGTCTGGGCTGTCGAAGCGAACCAACGCGAGGGCTCTGAACGAGGATGACACTGGAAGCCCTCTCGTAACGTGCTAGTGACTGCTAGTGTTGTAACATTGTACTTCTCTAAGCAAACCGATAACTTCAGTAAAACAGAGCGGCATCAAAATTAGGTTCTAGCTTCGCCACAGAGCATGCCAAAGCAGCATGTGGGCAAGATGAAGCGGCCACCCGTCGAGCCAGTGGAGCCATCGACCACGGCGAAGCGGAAACGCGGCAGACCGCCCAAGAGCGCGTGCAGCTCGTCCACTGCCTGGCGAGCCGAGCTCCCGAGCCCAAAGAAGTCCAGCGCCAAGCTCTCGCAGGATGTGCACAAGAATGACCCTAAACCCTAAACTCCAAACCCTAAAACCCTAAACCTGACGTGCAGGAGAATGACCCGGTTCGGAGATTGGTAAAAGCAGGTCGGCGGCGAGGTGCTCAAACGGCCTACTTCTTCATTCTCGAGGCTTGGAAGCTGGGAAGCGGCTACGACGACTTGAGCTCCCGCCAGGGCGCCGGGAGACGCTTCCTTGATCCGACCTCGGTGAAGATCTCCGTTGCCGTGGAGGCCGCTGGCTCCATGGAGGAGGTGGGAAGCTAAAGCTCTGAATGCCTAGATTCTACACCCCCCAACCCTAAAGCCTAAGCTCTACAGCCCCAGAGTCCCGAAAGCCAAAACTCCAAAGCCCTAAAGTCCGTACAGCCTAAACTCTAGACTCTAGACTCTACCACACCTCCTTTACCGTCACCCTAAACCCTAAACCCAATTAAACCCTAAACCCTAAACCTGAACACCTAAACCCCATTAAACTCTAAACCTCTAAACCCTAAACCCTCAGCCCCACTTGAGGCATCGCGGATCGCCGTTCTCCTCTGTAGAATGGCGGCCTCGGGAGCTACGTTCGAAGAGGTGGGGCTTAGTCGTGGAGTAGGGCATTAGGGTTGAATAGGGTTTAGGGTGTAGGGTATCAGGGTTTAATAGGGTTTGATAGGGTTTGGGGTTTAGTAGGGTTTAGAGTTTAGGAGGGTTTGGGGTTTGAGTGTGTAAAATACACGCCACCAGGGCGTCATGTTCTGTAAGGTTTAGGGTCTCGGATTTAAGGCTTGGGGTTTAGTAGTTGAGTAGCTAGTAGCTGAATGGCTGCACTTTAAACTTTTTGGGATAATAGAATCCCCTATAAAACTGAAAGTGTACACTTGTTTGGGCTTATGAACTCAGAAACTAAGCGTTGGGTTTAGGGTTTAATAGGGTTTAGGGTTTAGGGTGTAGTAGTGGGGTAAGTAATATAATGTCGCGTTGATATTGGCGTGTGTACACATTTATACATTTTATACACATGTTTTTACGTACACACATATGTGTATTTGGGATATACGGTGTAATATATAAATATATATATATATATACACACACCTCTATCTATCTACCTACCTACCTACCTACCTACCTACCTACCTAGCTATTTATCTATTTATATATATGTATATATATATATATGTGTGTGTCTGTTTGTGTGTGTGTGTGTTTGTGTGTACACACAGTATATATGGATATCTTTGCACATCGAGGCATGCCATATCTGATGCCGAAGCATGTTACAACATGTTGGACACTGTCATCTTCGTCTCTTCTCCTACCGAATCGCATTATGTTGCTTCGGGTATGTTTGCGATGATTGTTTTCAATGTCATGCATGCAGCAATATTGTTGGGAAGTGTTTCCGATTTCTATTCTTACTCGTCTTACTCTGTTCGATGAGCTGCATTTTTCCCGCTGCGGCTGCTCTTACTGCTGCAACGATGCCTGCAGCAACAGCAGCACAACAGCGACAACAACAAAACAACAGCAGCGATAGTAACAGCAGCAACAACGTAACGACAGCAGCAGCAGCAGCAGCAGCAGCAGCGGCAGCAGCAGCAGCAGCAGCAGCAGCAACAGCAGCAGCAGCAGCAACATCTACAACTACAAGTACAGCTACAACTACTGCTGCTGCTGCTGCTGCTGCTGCTGCTGCTGCTCCTGCTACTGCTGCTACCACCGCCGCTACCATGACGAGGACGACTACTACAATGGCTACTACTTCAGCTCCTGCTAGATGTCGTTTCAGGTCCATCCCTGCAGGTTCCCTCAGCTGAGTAGTCGAGAGTGACGGTTGTTGACTTCTGCGCAGCTGAAAGGTGACGCGGGAGAAGGCCTCTCAGCTGAAGAATCTGAAGGAACTTCGGCCTGGTCAGCAAAGCAAGAGAACGTCACCAGCCAAGAGCTCGAAGAAAGCTTCCCCGGAGCCGGTGTTCAAGAAGTCTAAGCTCCTCAGCCGGGAAGGCGAACATGAAGTTGGCCCTAAGCCGGCCGAGGGCAAAGTCCGACACTTCTACGACATGTTGAATGCCCGAGAGAGTATCGCCAAGCGTCGCCGAGCCGGTGTCACAGGTGTCCAGCTGTACGATGGGCTCTCCCCCGGCATGGCGACCTACTTCAAGCGCTGGTGTTGCCCAAATGTCAGACGACGGGAAGACCGCACGACGAGAGCCTTCGCTCAACTGGCGGCTGCGGACGCAAGATATGAGCTATGTAACACTGAAGAAGAGCGTGAGAAGCTGAAGCGGCTTCTTGTGCTCAACTTTGCCGTCTGGCGTCTTATCGGTGGGACCCTCCTTTTCGCTCGGGCCGTGGGCTTCCTCACGCAGCCCGGTGCAGGGCAGCCTTCTCCTTTTTCGAGTTCTCACAAAGACTCCAAAATCTTCAAGCTGGTTTAGGGGTTGGGGTTTAGTAAATTTAGGGTTTAGGGTTTAGGGGTTTTTAGATTCCCAGGAACTGGTCTGATGCGGAGAAGGCCCACATCCGCCGCGTGATCACCGAAGCTTTCCAGCGGGGCGCGGCGGCCTCCTTGTTCAGCGATGCATATGAGGCGACCCAGAAGATCCGGATTGCAGGGGCCCAAGTCGAGGTCAAGCTTAGGACTTTAGGGTTTAGGGTTTTAGGGTTTAGGGGTTTCGGGTTTAGGGCTTAGGACCTGAGATTAGGATCAGGCTGTCGGTAGGCCTTAGGGTTTAGGTCTGGGATGATTTGGGATGGTTTGGAGTTGAGGGCTCACTATACAGTTTAGGATTTTAGCGCATATGTTGAATGCCACATGAGGCCATGTATGGATGCGTACAGTGCTGAAGTGCATGGGCGGCAAGGGAGCACATGGGGAGTCCTGAGTATGTGCAAAGCTCTACCCCTTCCTTCCACAATCTACATATAGAAGCATGCATGCATGCATATATGCATATGCATATGTATATGTATACTGTACATTTACGTATATACGTCTATCAGATCGACGTATGCGTGTATTTGCGTGTACTTGTCGGAAACCCAGTGCACCCTAAACCCTAAGCCCTAAACCGTAAACCCCAAACCCTAAACCCTGAGGCCTAAACCCTAAACCCCAAGCCCTAAGCCCCAAGCCAAACCCTAAGCCCTAAACCTAAACCTTAATACTTAAACCCTAAACCCCAACCCTAAACCCCAAACCCTAAGCCCTAAACCTTAAACCCAATTGCAGAGAGGCGTTCGGACCAAACTGCGATGCAGCGAAGCTAGAGGCCGACCCTCTCACTCCTACAGGTTTTGGGGTGTTTAAGGTTTAGGGCTTAGGGTTTGGGGCTTAGAGTTTGGGGTTTAGGGTTTGGGGTTTAGGGTTTAGGGCTTAGGGTTTGGGGTTTATGGTTTAGGGTTTAGGGCGTAATAGTGAGTAGTCTGGGTGTTGGGCAACAAGTTCGGAGGTTTAGGGTTTAGGGTTTAGGGGGTAGTCTGGGTGTTGGGCAAAAAGTTCAGAGGTTTAGGGTTTAGGGTTGAGGGGGTAGTCTGGGGTGTTGGGCAAAAAGTTCAGGGGTTCAGCATCGAGGGATTTAGGGGGTTAGGGCTTGAGGTTTAAGGTGCTGGGTTTTGGAATTCGTTGTGGTATGGGACGGGTGGGGTCCCATGCAAAGACGTTTCTGTCTTTGCGAGCCAGCCTGCTCTAACGTCCCGGCCCATGTTCATGCCTCTCGGCGTCAGCAGTGAGTCTCGCTGGCAGGGACTTCTGTACAACCGGGGTCCCAAGGCGAGGCGGCTCGAAGATCCAGTGCTGTTGAGATAGCCTGCAAGGGTTTGGCAACGCGTGCCGGCTTTGTCGCAGGCCGTGGAGAATAGAGAGCCGACCTTGACATACTTCACGGTCCATGGCAAGCTGCGGTTGCTGGATGATTCCTGCCTACATAGTTGATGGTCGAGCCATATAGCCAGTATGTAGCACTTGGAACCACCCCGAGCTAAGGAACTCTGGCTGGTAGCTCCAGACGTCGTTGCTGCTGCTGCGCCGGACCAAACAGGCAAGAAAGCTGGCCTTCAGGGGATTAGGGTTGTAGGGTTTTGGGGTTTGGGGTTTAGGGTTGACTGAAGATGCTGCACCTATTCACTCAACAATCGCATGACATAATTACACTCGATACTAACATAGCATCGCAGCGAGAAGAGCAGATATGGGTGTACGTATATAACTATATATTTGTATCTATATATTTATATCTATATATCGGTATATCTATATCTAAATACATATATATATATATATCTGTAGATAGAGAGATACAGGTTTAGCCTTGATCATGCGACTGAAGCATTGAAGCATACGTATATTGTCACCGGCGCCCTTATTCAAAGAAGATGTCCCTGACTGCAGGCAAGCACCATTGGCAGAAGGTTGCGAACGTACTGGGTCAGCTACCGTACTTCGGGCGCGACGAGCCATGCCTTGTCTGAGATTTGGGGTGGGGTGGTTTGAGAAGTTGGAAATTCACGTGAACTTCAGGCATCAGGCCATGGTGCAAGTGACCTAGTGATGGAGCAACTGTCTGCTTGGCGGTGCAACTGTCT